GTATAGATCATTTTTTGTCACCACTTATATTTTTATTTGTTGGTGTATGTAAAAATTAGTAATGAGAAATCATTAAACATGTTAGTAAAGATAACTTATTATGGTGTCTTAATTATATTTTTGTCTCAAAAAATCAACATTGACCACGATAATATTTATAAATGGTGACTATGACCACGATAATATTTATAAACGGTGACTATAAGTTAATAATAATCACTTTATATGAAAAAGCACATCACTATAAGTATTTTATCGTCACCATTTAATTGTCCAATGAGTGAGTAAATGTACCCAATAAGTGGGTAAATATATACAATATTCAAGATATAATATTAAACATGTCAGTAAAAGTTATTAATAATCATAATAAAAGAAATAACACGTTAGTATAAATCATTTTTTGTGACATCATAGATTTTTTATTTTTCGGTGTATGTAAACAATAGTAATAAGAAAACATTAAGCATATTAGTAAAGATAAGTTATCTTGAGAACTTAATTACATTTGTGTTTCCAAAAGTCAACAATGTTCACGATAATATTTATAAACGGTGACTATAAGCGAACATTTATCACTATATATGAAAAAACATCAGTATAAGTGTGTTATTAATGACAGTTATCAAAATAAGATAGATACATATCCAAAAATATTATACCATATAATGACGAGTCTGACATATAATAACAGGTTTTCATGGTTTATACTCACCACAATTGAACGGCAGCATAACTTATCTTCATTGACGCGACCTTTCTTCACAGTTCACACATTGAATGAAAAAAATATCTGACATAAAATGTCTATAGACAAAACTGCAAAAATAGTCGTTGTGGTTTCTCATTTTATGTGGTTAAAGTCCAAAATTTTGAAAAGTTCTAGATTTGGTCCTTTTCAACAAGTTTTGTTGTGGTTTTGGTCCCTCTTCCGTTAACTTTAACTTGGCTGTTAACTTTTTTAAAATGATTATTTTACCCTCAGAGACCATTTCTGCAACCAAACTACAATGAACATTTCTACATATCTTCATTTTATTTTTATTGAATTATTATATATTAATAAATGTTACTTTTAATATATATTATTTATATATATTAATAAATATTGTTTTATTAGATTATTAAGTTATTTTAATTAAAATTTTCTAATTTCTTTGATATCGGATATTTTAATTGGATAACTATATATGAGTAAATATTATTTTTAATATATAATATTTATATATTAATAAATATTATTATATTGGATTACTAATTTATTTTAGTTAACATTTTGTATTGGAGTAATTCTTTTTTATTGGATTATTATATATTAAAAAATATTATTTTTAATTTATAATATTTATATCCTAATAAATATTATATTATTAGATTATTAATTCTTTTAGTTAATTTTTTTAATTCCTTTTTTTGAATTAGTTCTTTTTTGTTGGAATACTACTTTTAATTTATTATTTTTTTATATAATTAATATTATTTTGCTGAATTATTAGTTTATTAGTTTATTTTTAACGTATACTATTAATTCTTTTTAATTTTATTAGTTCCACCACAAAGTCGGTAGAATACATGATTTGTCTCTCATCATTGAAAATTGTCACGATCATCAGAAAACATCTTCTTCGGAGATCGGACAGAAACCCACCAACCTTTTCAAACCAATGATGACGATAGTCACCTACGATAACACCACTACCATCACCAGATCACCACCACCACTTCTAATGTTTATAGGAGTTTTTGTGTGGGATATGGAGGATTCAAACGAATTTTGAAGATGTTGTCGTAGGTGGCTACTGGGGATATTGGATGGAAAAAGTTAGTAGGGTTTACGTCGAACCTCCGATGAGGTTTTTGGCAGTGCTCCCGATGTTTTTCGTTGATGAGTAGGCGGCGATGTTGCATATTCCGACGAATTTGTGGTAGAATTAATAAAATTAAAAAGAATTAATATTATACAATAAAAATAAATTAATAATATAATAAATAATATTTATTATATAAAAAATAATAAATTAAAAGTAGTATTCCAATAAAAAACAATTAATCCAAAAAAATGAATTAAAATAATTATCTAAATAAATTAATAATCTGATAATGTAATATTTATTAGGATATAAATATTATAAATTAAAAATAATATTTATTAATTTATAATAATCAAATAAAAAAGAATTACTCCAATTAAAAAGTTAACTAAAATAAATTAATAATTCAATATAATAATATATATTAATATATAAATATTATATATTAAAAATAATATTTATTCAATCCAATTAAAATATCTGATAACAAAGAAATTAAATAAAGTTAATTATAAGAAATTAATAATCTAATAAAACAATCTTTATTAATATATAAATAGTATATGTTAAAAATAACATTTATTAATACATAATAATTCAATAAAAATAAAAAAGAAGATATGTAGAAATGGTCTTTGTAGTTTGGTTGTAGAAATGGTCATTGACGATAGAATAATCATTTTAAAAAAGTTAACAGCCAATTTGGTTGTAGAAATGGTCATTGACGATAAAATAATCATTTTAAAAAAGTTAACAGCCAAGTTGTTAAAGTTAACAGAAAATGGACCAAAACCACAACAAAACTTATTGAAAATGACAAAATCTACAACTTTTCTAAGGTTTAAACCTTAACCACATAAAATGAAAAACCACAGAAACCATTTTTACAGTTTTGTAATGTCTATAATGACGGATTTTTTAGATGAATAAAGTTCAGCTTTCTACTAGTAAAAAAACATGAGAACTACAAGTCAAAGCTAAAAGTTGGTTTAAAAGAAAAAGTTTGTCAAATGAGAGTTTTTTTGGAAAAACAAATAAAAATGGGAAAAAAATAGAAAAAGAAAAAAATAATAAGTTCAGATTTTAATCCAAAAAAACCCAATATATAGAATGTTTTACGATCAATGTTTTAAAAGCCGATTTGAAGTGGTTGGTCGAACCGGTTGGACCGGGAACCGGAGAAGGGAGCAGTTCAACTATCATCGGTTTTATGTCTATTTTTGAACCGGAATGATCCGGTAAGGTTTTATAAAAATCCGGTTGAACTGATTAAATTAATACGATTGAACCGGTTAAATTGAATAAAACATAATTGGAAAAAGAAACATTTTGTATAATAAACTTTTGTGGTCTTTTTCACATTTATTTAGATTTCTCTAAATAAAAACATATAGTAAATATTATGAAGTTTTTTATGATGTGTTTGTATTCATCTAAAACTATATTTTGTTTCGGTATTATACTTTATCTTATTTTTAATGTATGTGGATTAATGTGAAACTTTTGATTATGTGTTAGTTTAATGTATTTTGATTGATCTACAACTTGTTTTTATATGTATTTTTTTGAACTTGAGACGTCAAATTGTTGATTTATGTATGTATATATGTATAGGAAAATAGAAAAAAAAATTAAAATTATAGAAACCGGTTCATCCGGCGATCGAACCGGTTAAATCAGTTGAACCGGAAACCAACCACTATACTAATTCAACTGAAAAACCGGTTTTTAAAACATGGTTTACGATAGTAACCCGTTACAAAAATATGTTTATGTTAATTAATATTAAGTTTTCGGTTAACGAATATCTCTATAAAATAATAAAATATCATACCATCCCAATAATAGTAATTTATAGAGGTTATAACGTAGTAGGTGCCCAAAATGCAACATTTAAATGCTTGAAATATGTTCTGCTTCCTTTAACAATACAAATTAAAGTTCGGTTACATCAATAATAATACCAAGTTAAATTAATATAAATTAGGGTTCAATAGTTGGAGATATTAAAAGATAATGATTAATGTTGATTGGATTATAATGATGATTTATTTAGAGAATCTCGTATTTAGATGAACAAATTGTCAACGAATTCCTTCATAGGATTTAACTTCAAAAAATAAAATTTGACTTGTGCACATAATCATTGGACCAGAATGAAAATAGGTAGACTCATGCCCACAAGATCTATGGCGTGCATCTTCAACTTGTTTCTCTTGACTATGTACATTTTGCATTGAAAAAAATAACGTTGTTGATCGATTCATATATTCCTAATAGTTGATTAAATAAGTTACACATAAGTTTTAGTTTTACACTAAGTCATCATTAAAAACGTAAGATGGATGTGTGTGGCTTTGAAAATTGCACAAATTATGTTATGTAACATTTTTAGTTTGTCCATATAATCTTCCTATGCAAAATCATTACTCTCAACAAATTCTTGATAGCTTACAATTAAAATGTCTCCTTTCACATATATAATCTTTGCTTTGGTTGAATGTAAACAAAATCATTGCCAATCTTTACATGTTGACAAATTGTCAAGTGATATGTCTAATTAAAAGGGTCTTTGTCCTAGCAGTAAAGAAATACATTTTCAAATGAGATGGCATGGTTCAAGTCTCATTAGAAGATATAGGTGGTTTAGGAGTAGGTTAATTTGCCTGTTAAAAATAGTGATATGTCTAATCGAACCCTTAGATTTTCAACTTATAATCAATTTGATTACAAATGGAAGTGAAGTTGTTATAATATTATTATTGACAAATGAAGTTATTTAAAACATCAACATATCTTTTTGTCACTTTGTTTAGTACATGCAACAAAATCACTTAACTAGATTACAAGATATATAATCTAAAACATAACAAACAATGGTTGTTTTTTACTGGAACAGAAAAATCTTTCAAGTATGGATTTAAATCAAATATGAAAGTAACAAACGGAAAACATCAACATAACTGTATAGTTTTGCAATATGTTTTTTAGGAACCATGACGTGTAAGAAATTTCAAAGGGCAAACCCCACAAGTGTATACCATATGTACATTTATACTACACCACTTGCATGGCAAAATTCGATGGTATTGCTTTGATTAGGAAGAGAAAATATCACTTAGATGCATGTTGATGTCTTAGAAAACGACATTGTGGCCTATAAATAGGGAACACAACATTGTATTAAGCATTTCACTTAGCTCTTTAATTTATATCAATGGCTTTGAAATCTATGATCGTTTTGGTGGCCCTTTTAGTAGCAGCATCACAAGCTGAAGCTCAAATTCCGGGACTTTCTGGTCTCCTCGGCATAATAAGCATCAACGGAACCATCTTCTGCTCTACTAATGGAAACATCATTCCTAATGCTGCCACCCCTACACCTCCATTTTCAAGTAAGTTATGTTAGTATATGATATACAAAGATCCTATTAAAACTCTACAGTTAAGTGTAATTGTGCAAGAGTAGTAAGTAACACGATGGATGACCCCTTTGGGAAGTCCTTGTGAAGGGTTGCCCAAAGTGGTCAATATATGGTAAATGCACATGAGATGTTGCAAACTGTACAACTTGACACAAGTACTTATCAAGGGGTCAGTAAAGTAAGCTATTCTTTTCGTCTAAGCACGTAGTTAAACGAAATTCTAATAGGATTCACTGTTCTCGTGCTTTAAAACACTGTAGAATAAATTTTTTATGATTAGGATTGCATTTGTCTTTATTTTGTCTTTTATCTCTTAGGTTTAAGCTTATAAACAATTGCTTAGTTTCTTTCGTATTGTAACAGAAATCTTAAATTATATCTCCAGAGAACATATATTTTTCTCCCTAACATTCACTCATGCTACATTAATCTTTTATGTGTGCTTCTTGTTTTGTGATTGACATGCAGATGCTCTAGTCCAAGTAACATGTGGTGGCAATGTGATAGCGTCAGCCATAACAAATGGATTAGGAGGATTTAACATCGTACTGAATCCCCTTAGGTTTCTTCTCACTAGTATTCTATCCTCTTGCAACGTTGTTGTCGCTTCACCACTTTCCAGTTGTAACTCAAGCCTACCATCAACTGGATTTCTACAAGCACCACTGCAATTGATTGGGAATACTGTTCGTGGCCTTTTGAGTGTTGTCACCTTGATTCCCTCACTATTCCAGCTTATTAATGTTTGATGTATGGATGATTAATCCAACATACCTTATTTATAAGTTTATAACTATAATAATGTATGAATAAAAGAAGATGTAAGCCTGTAAGGTATCTCTTCATGTTTCAAAGGTTTGTAATATATAGTATGTATTTTTTAAATAGTGACTAAATTAAATATTATGTGAAAGAGGTTATTTCACTCATCATTGTATTCAATTCAAGTCTCATACTTATAGTTTCATATATCATATTGGTTAAACATTGGCTAATTACTCAAGTCTCGTATCTTTATAGAAGTATATAACCAAATTATAATCAATCCCACGAAGAGGAAAAAATTGTCTACCAATTCGTAAAAAGAACAAAGAATTTCAAAGTATTATGATGTGTTTGGGAGCTTCTAGTTTTAGTTTTTAACGAAAAACTCAATTTAAACAAAAAGTTTTGTTTGAGAGTACGAGCATTTAGTTTTAATTTAAACAAAAAGTTTCAAATCTAAAAATTATCTCATATAGCGTTTATGAAAAAAACTATTGAAATTTTTTAATCAATTTCCAGAATTGTCCTTAAAAATATATTTATCTTTTTTAAAAAGTTGTTATTTTATTTAATTTTACACAATTCAAAAGCTTCCAACTATTTTTGTCAAATATTTATATAACAAATAAAAGTTACAGTTTAAAGCTATAAACTACTAGCTATCATTTAGTTTTGTCAAACACATTTAATAAATAAATAAACTATTTAAAACAAAATTCAATTCTTTAACGTTATTTAAATACTATAATATTGTCTTGGTATTAAAATATTTTAATATTCAAACTTCGCTTAGAGCAATTTGTATATTTGAAGATCATTCCAAGTATTTCGTTGTTTATTGTTAATGTATCATAATCTCTTCTTCCAAAGACAAATGCTAATAATTTTTATTTTCGCTTCTAAATAAGCTTTCTACTAAGGGGTGGGGTGTTTGGCTTACCTTTTAAAATAATTTTTGGACTTTTAACGTTTCCAAAAAGTTAAAAGAATCCAAAAGATGTTTGACAAAATAGAAAAGTTCTTTTAAATCAATTTTTAGCCATGATAAAAAATGAGCCTTTTTAAAAGTCATAAAATCCCGTCTTTTTGTGACTTTTGACTTTTATCTCTTAAAAGTCTTAAAAGTCCACCCAAATACATTTTAAATACCTACTTTTAGAAAAAGTTCTTTTAGAAAAAAGACTTTTAACTTCAAAAAGGAATCCCAAACACACCCTAAAACTTCATCTTTTTATTTTCCGTAGATAATCACTAAAAAGGTTAATTTATTTTAATAGATATGTGTGTTGCATTTGGTTTTTATTAAGTAACTAGGTTATAACGTGTGAAAATCACGACTAATATTATTATAAATATTATATATACAAAAAATAAAATAAAATATAAACAAAACAAATATAATATAAGTTTGATTTGTATAGTTGGTATGTAGAATAATGTAATCGTAATTTTATAAGATTCATTAAAATCATGAATAATTTAAAAGGTTTTTGAAATAGGATATGATTTGTGTTTGAAATATTAAACGAATTTTGATATTGTTACCAAAAAATGGATTTAAATTTTTAGATTTAATATTTTGGAATTTAGTAATTAAATATTATGACATTTATTAGAAAATTTTAGATACATGTCGGGTGACAAATAAGCATTATAGAATAGGGACAAATGACATTATTAGAACATTTTTAATGGGAACTTTTTTACAATTTATTATTATCAACTTTTCTTGTTAATAACTTATTATCATTAGAGTATAAAACTTATTTGTTTTTTTTTATAGACCACTCAATATATATAGTGTCGTCGACATATTTCTATGGTTTGTCATTTAACTTCTTCGTACTTTAGTCATATTTCATTTTACCCTTTTAAATATATTTTAGTTTTAAATATTATTTATTTATTTACTTATTAATTATTTGTATTAAATATTTAATGACATTTCATTTATTAAATATAAAATTATAATGATTATATAATTTTTTTTCTTTATTTTTAATGACCATTCCGTAATAGTTTTTTTTATATTAAATTTTCCGAACGATATGTTGTTGTAATATATTTCTTTTGAAACAATGTATTGTAATATTTTAATAAAATTAAAATACAATGTGTGTTTAAAAATAATAATTAAACAAGGGGTTTTATAGAACAATTAGTTGGAGATGTTGTTAGGTTTTGTTTATTAAAAAAGGATAATATTTAATGAGATATCCTCAAACTAAACAAAATGTGAGAGATTATGATTAATGACAGGATGACTGCCCTTTTGATTAAATATTATAAATTAATCATTTATATTGTAAATATGTGAAATGCCTTTTTGACATGCAATACTATTTTTAAATTATTCACAATAAAATGTTTTATCTATTATTTTCTAAGTTGATACTACTTTATATTTGAAAGAAAAAAAAAACTATCATTTTTCTTAAACAATTTATATGAAATAAGCTAAAAATTAAGAAAATGATAGAGAAACTTCTTAAATGGTAAAGAACTTACCCATTTTGCAGGGGACACTGCAAAATGATAGAGAAACTTGTTAAATTGTCAAAACTACGTTACTTTGTCATTTTGTAACACCTACAAATAGGTAGAGTACTTGTGAAACTATCAACAAGACGTCGTTTTGCCATTTCATATGTGATAAGGTAAAATGAGAGAGGACCTTGTAAAATTGTTAAACCATAATTTTGCTATTTTACAGGGTACAGTGTAAAACGGGAAGGATCCAACATTCTTGATCATTTTATTTATTTTTTTCCGTATAAACTCTTAAACGTGTAAAGTATCATAATTATAGTATTTTGACAATATAAAATATAGTTGTTTGAAAAGAAAATAAAAAAATAGGGTCTTCCCTCTTTTGCAGTGCCTATGAGAAATGGGTATTCTTAAAAATAAGAAGGAAGAGAGGACTATTGTGAAATAATGAAAAGTTGAAAAGATGAGACGAAGTTGCTACGTATAAATATCTGAAATTTGAAAAGAAATAAGTTGACTATAACATGTGTTTCGCATTTTATTTTGCAAAACTTTAATATTTTGTCATTATCGAAGAATCGAAAATAAATAAGTTGAGAAACCAAGTTGCATATTTTGCAAAAACTTCATATCTTAAGTTGTTTATAAGTTATATGTGAATGGTCATAATATAAGCTGATTACATAAATCCAGACACAATATTTATATATCTTGACATCATTTATGAATAATTTAAACATTTAACTAATATATCAACTTGTAAGTAAACTTTTCTCATATTAAAGTATAGGGATGAAAAAAAAAAAAAACTCATACCTGTTGGGAAATCCAAAACCCGTATTCGGTTTGACCGGGGATGGGGATGAGGATTCGTTTATAATCCCCGATGGGGATGAGGATTGAAATGAGGATTCCGGGATAAGAATAGGAATTGGGGTCCCTGGTACTCATCGGTCCCGTTTACATCTCTATTAAAGTAGCCTTGCTAAACTTAGCCAAATTTTGACTGAGGGATTTATCAATTTGATGTTTACCGTGTATAGCATATTTTTTGTTGCGTGAATTATATTTTTTTTACTAAGAATATACCCTTTAAAAATTAATGAAAGATTATGGTAGGACTAGCTATCACTCTTTAAAAATTAATGAAAGAATTACTTGTTTTTAAAGCTTAAAAACAAATAATTCTTGAATCTTGATCGTTATGAAATTTGAAATTTGAAATAATCATTTGTATGAAATGTGGTCTATTGTTTGTATGCATTTGCTCATAGTTTTCTTGGTTGATCAGTATTCTATAAAGAGTAATCACATTAATCATTCTAAAGCAATAATATAGGATGGATTATTTGGTTAATAGTTTCTATAGTTATCATGATAACTGAAATGCGTTCGATAGTTGAGAGATAGTTGCAATGGATAACTGAAATGTATTGGAAAGTTGCTAATAGTTGCAATCTGTTTTTAGGTTTTAGATAGTTAAAACAAATAACAAATTAACAATGGTGTATGTTTTTTTGCGGTTTTTAAAAGTCAAAGTATATATATGCGGTTTAAAAAACAAACCACAACTATTAGACAACGAATCGCATTTAAAAACTAAAAACCAAATCATATGAAAAACCGAACCGTGTGGTTTTATAAAGGGAAAATCGATTTTGCAGTTTTTGGTGCGAGTTTAGTCAAAAACCGCATCACGCACACCCCTACCATGGTTCACTTTGGGATGGTTCGGGTTGGGTTTTGGGTATGGTATCGGGTTTGGTTTTTGATCGTTTAAGGATTGGGATTGGGATGCATGAAATTTGTTGGTTCCACCTGCAAAATACGAAAATACAGATGTTGGTTCCACCCAAAAAAATATCAATTGTATGAGTGAAAACCTAGAACCAAAGTGTGGTTAGTATGGTTGTAATGAATATTCAAGATCGAAAGCATTGTCAGACATTGGTGTGTTGTAACTAGTAAGACAAGTTTTGTAGATGTCACTTGTTGGGGTGATGTAATATGAAAGATTGTGTAGATAGATTGCACGTGAAAATAACATAGAAATAATAAATAACTAGGGAAGAATTCCGCGTTGCGGGTGTTGGAGTTGTGGGAGTTGGAGCATATTTCAGTCTTTTATTATAAAACAGGAAATAGCAACACACTTTACAATACTTTACAAATACTGGCTCTAATTTTTCCCATGAAGTATCCAGAATCTAATCAAAAGAAAAAAAAACAAAAAATGTATAAAACGTTTGCATATAAACACAACTAATTTTAGCATTGTGAGAAAGACTTTTTTTTTTGGAATGAGAAGAATAAATCCCTTTCTAATGTTGAATTGTACACTTGGCTTTTCAATTCACACAAACAACATTCCGCAAACAACATTCCGCAAACAACAAAAGTACATATTCTCTATATAAATAATCAAAGTTACAAAATAATGGAAAGAACGCATAATAAAAAAGTCAATCCCGAGTATATCCATGAAAAAACCCTGTATCTCTTCTTTAAGATAGAAAAAAAAAATATAAATACCTTCATCACATGTCTCTTCGCATACTATCAAACACAATCTTTGCCTGGTCCACCATTCCAAATATTGCAAATGCATCAAGCAATACGTTTTTAGGCCTTTTGTGTTGGGCTAAAATGTATGCAAAAAGAT